TTTTGGCGATGACTGTTGAATGGGTGGCCTTTATGTGACCTCTCTGAAAGAATGGAGCAAAAATAATTAACTATAAAACGTCCGGGTTATGCCGTGTACACATACCGGCCCTGATACAGAAAGTGTATTATATTTGTGAAAGCATATTAGCTGACTAGCCAATGCAGTGTTCACATACCGGCTATGACACTACAAGTGTGGTAACAGTTATAAACTGCTCCGTGCCTAAGAGTATTACTTGGCCTAGCCGTTACGGGTGCCTTAATTTAACGTCTTTGGACACCGAACAGTGTTTGTGGAGTGTACTTTCTGTCTCCAGGATTTGGCCCTGGAAATTTGCACGTAACAACCACGTAGATAAGCATATTCCTGTTAGCAGTAGATCTTTTTTCCCCCTGACTGAAGTTCACAGATCTTTTATTTATCAACAACTGGTACAGGTAACACGCACAGTCTGCTCTCTTAAATTTGAAAAAGTAAATTTGGATCTCCTTATTTTATTGAAGCACGTACAGTCTGCTCTCTTATGTACATGTGGACATGATTTATATCTTTAAATTCCGGAACCCAGTCATTAAAATCTTTACAAAGATCATCGGATGTTATAGGACTCCGAGTTAAAACAAGAAGTCGGTTCATTGTTACTGAGCGTCACTTACAGAAAGAAAAGTTGTAAATACTTCAAGATAACTAAATCAAATAGTAACTAAAAACAACAGTGGTCACGCCAGGATTCTAGCCTGCTGCCTGCAAATGACGAAAAGTGCCAGAAACCGCCAAAAAGCTGTAAAGAGCCAGGTCAATTCACTGAGAGCAGGCCAACTCAGTGCGACAAGTGAACACATGACACGTACGACCAAAACTGCAGTATGGCATAAGAGCATTCTCAGCTGCAGCTAAATCAAATCTAAATAAACTAGACAAAATACGGAACACTGGCCTCAGAATCATCAATGAAGGCATGAAAGGCACAGCATTGAGCTGGAAGCGATTTCTCGCCTTTACAGCTTGAGCCATCGAAGGGATGAAACAGTCCTTACACTGACACAAACAAGTCAACGCATGAATAACCACATGCTCAGAGTAGCCAACGACCTAACTCTCTCACACACACACACACACACACACACACACACACACACACACACCTAATTAAAAAACAGTTTCCACCATCTATGAAAATTGTTCAACTATATACTCATAACAATAATCCTAGGCATAGGTAGAAAGGCTGAACAAGAAAGGTCACCTAGTGCGGACAGCAAAATATTTAAACATGCCCACTACTCTGATCCTAAACCCGAATGGAGCGATAACCACTGCTAGATCATTGGAGGAAGCAGCAAGAAAAAAAAAACGGAAGGGCAGGTTCGGCCATCATGCAAGATGAGACTACAGCGGACAAGTCATGTACCTCCGGGAAACTCATCAAATTTCACAGCAGCCCGCAGTTACTGATGCAGTAAAACTGCTCGAGGAAAGAACAATAAAAGGCAGCAGAATTGTTTTCCTGTGTGACTGCATGTCAGTCCTCTAGGCTACTCAAAGGGATCTATGAGACAAAATGGAGAGAACTGATCTTCAAGCCACCCCCCCCCCCCCCCCCCCCCCCCCCCCCCCCCCCCAAAAAAAAAAACTTAGAAAACAATTAAATCGTTCTATGGTGGATTCTGGCTCACTGCGGCGCACCGGGAAATTAGGCTGGACTGGCAAAGAATGGAACAAAGGAGAAACAACACGCCATTCATTGTCATTACCAGAAATAAAATTACTTATCAAGGGTTAAAAAACCAGGAACTGCGATAAGTACAGACCGGCTGTAAACATCCACATGACCCAATCTGCAGACCAAACAGAAAACAACACACAACAATTGCCCGTCTAAGAAAAGGAAGCTGCAGGCTAAACCACTACATATATACATATTGTACAGCACCCACAGTGTGTATATCAAACAGGACCACAAACACGTTTGCACACTATGTAGGCCTGCATACTATACTTAAATCTACTAAGAAAAACCTGGCCTCAAGAGAAAAGTGTGCAGAGCAAGTCGTGGGCAACCATATGGAAGACCCACAACTGACATGCCAATTCACATATGCAGTCCACCTGATGGTCTAATCTGAGCATAGAAAACCGAACGCCAAGAAGAGGAGGAATCACCCGACTGAACCCACAGAATTCAAATATAATTCCCTTCTAGTCGCTGAATTTCAGAAATCTGTACTGACTAATATGTGATTCAACAATAAACATAAAACGGCCTCTACTGCTGGGTCTTGCAAATTATACACATACTGTATTTAAAGAAAAATTGAACAAGAGTATACTCTATGAGAAACTACAAGAAAACTTGGTTATGCAGATGATAATATGAAAATTAAACGAACGAAAACGTGTAAGTTACTTGGGTGCAAGCCTCACTTGCTCCAACATGCTGAAAGAAGAAATACAATCTAGAATACAAATCTGGAAATAAAGTATACTATGTCCTTCAACATTTGTTAAAGTCGAAGTCTCTGTCTCACAACTTCAAGATGCTAATATACAGAACGTTTATTAGACCTGTTGTTTTATAAGGCTAAACAACTCGGAGCACAACTAAAGGAGATGAAGCCTTATTACAAATTTTCGGAAACAGAATCTTACGAGGACTCTTTGGACCCATTTAAGATTCAAACAGCAGGGATTGATGGGTGAGAAACACAAACTGTATTCTTAATCTGTTTAATTAAACACCCATTATCTCTCGCAACATGGGGCTAAAAGAGTGAAATCGCAGAAGCATATTGAGAGAATGTCAGAGGACAAAGAGTTTACAAATTGTATACACAAGGGACCTGAATGGTCGCAGTCCACAAGGCAGACCAAGATGACGATGGAGTGGTAATACTCAGCTAGATAATATCCAGACAGACCTACAAACACTTACCGTCAAAAACTAGAAAGAGAAGGACAAAGTAAAAGTATGTTAAGTAAAGCAAAGGGCCATTTTCCACGCCTTTAGGCGTATATGGCATATAGGGCTAGACCTATATTTTATAGACTAACGGCACAAGATGAGTGATGTGGTCAGCATCACGCTGGCCACCTCTACTTCCTGGGACTGCACCTGGTACCCACTTAGGGCTGGGTCGACCTGTGAGTCAAGGTCATTTTTGAAGAATAGTCCTGCTCCGCCAGGGAGCGATCCCACGACCTTCCGATCCGCAAGGCGCATCTAGTTGCTCTGCCACTGCGACTCCCACGAGAAGGACAACCAGAGAGATAAGTGTAGGCCGGTAATATCTGCAGCAATGAACCTCAAGGGCTCGAAATGCTGAAGAATTAGTATTTAAAGACGTTGCTGGTGCGAGAGGCCTGCATGCAAACATGATAACCAGCCTCAATGACTAGACAGACTGGTGAACGCCTCACATTTTCCAAGGCCTGCTACCGACTCGTAATTATTTAAAAGACAAATTGTTATCAGAGACTACTGAAATGTGTTCCCAAGTCACAAACACCAGCTGGGGACCACAGCAATAGATCTCTTAGCAGTAGGGTGCCTACTGCATTTTATCTGTTGTGTGTGTACGTGTGCGTGTGTGTGAATTCGGCCTCCTCGTCTAAAATCATGCCTTTTCTAATTGTTCTTTAATTCGTCTTTCTGTTATCTGATATTTATGTTCATTATGTCAAAATATATATGCTTCTGTTGTTTTCTATTGACTAATATTATTGTATCCTCTGCTTTGAATGTATCTTTTTATATCTTATTCTATTTCCTCTAATTTCTATTTTGTATTTCTTCTGATGACTGTTTCTATATTACCATCTAAGGCTGTTCTATGAGGTCATCTTAAGTCCCAGTGTCGCTCTCAAGACTGTTTGTACCATGCTCTCTTATAAAGTCTGTTGTTTTAAGTTTGTTGTTTTAAGGCTCTTTTTACCCCTCTTCAGTTTGTCTAAACATTTACAGTCGGATGTCATATTTATTGGTCTCTCAGATTTTTTTTGCAGTTCTCTAATATTTGTTTCTGCTAGTTCTCTTAAGTTTATTTTCACTGTGATTTTTTTTTTAAACAATCGTGTCCCATAGCAACTATATTGCTATTACCGGGAGTACGTTAGCGCCAAAAAGTACTAAAATATATGCAAATAATATCTTTAAATGAGTGTCGTTATGTTAACGATGTGACTATAAAATTAATTCAATAAAAAAATACTTATTAATAAACCAAACCTTAATATGTAATTTTTATAATGGCCCTGAAAAGGACCTTAATATAAAAAGACATTAAAAAATTGATAGACCCTGTCTGGATGTCATCAGATATCAGTTATAAATTTGCCACTAGCCTTCCCTACACCAGCCGAATCTTTCACATCAGAAAACTTCAACCGTTTTGAACTGGATATTGGGGGATAACTGTAGCTCCGCTTGTGACCCAGTTTATGTCCAGCTGCCGGGTTGGCTATGACCTTTGATCTGGCTGGTGTCACGGAATGTCTACTTGTCCCCGTATCCCCTTTCCGTGAGGATTTCATGCCAGATTTACTCCGCTTGAAGTCGCCAACGGGGTTGCATTCCAAGTGGAGAATCTGGCTTCGGGACTGAGACCTTAAGAAATACCTGTCTATAGCCCGCTCAATGGTTTGAGTTGACGTAGACCTTGTATTGTGGGGTGAAATCCCAAGAAGCCACCAAAACACCGAATCTTTAGAGTGAATAGGCAGATGAGTTGACCTGCTAGAAGTAACTCGTGCCCGTCGTCTGCTTCCACTCTTAGGCATCATGCCCAACACCCACCAACAGACATTTTCTGTAAAACTCATTTGCATTTTCGACGACATCGTTTTTACTGTCTGGCAAAATTAGGTCTGACCTGAACGAGAGTGAGGTCACGTGCGTTGACAGTAAGGTTTTTTTCACTGCCGTTGCACGGACCTCCGTGGACGCTCTGTTTACATGCTCTGTAGTGTAAATGTAGTTGTAGCTACACTACCTTTTTGGT